AAAATAAAAAAAAAAAAAAAAAAAAAAAAAAAAAAAAAAAAAAAAAAAAAAATTATAAATTTATAAAAAGAAATATCGAATTATACAATAAATTTCTATTAAGAAAATCTAGGAAAATTTTTAAATTCTTATAAAAATATCTTAATTTTTAGTAATGTTTTAAAAAGAAAACCACTTAGAACATAAAAACAAAATACATAAAAATAATGAAAAAATATGAAGCGAAATTGAAAAATATATTTATTAAAATATAGATAATAAACTAAAAATGAAATTTATAAAAAAATGCCAAGTTAAAAAAACATACGTTTTAAGACCACCCATGTAAAATTAAAGTATGTAATTCACATTAAAATAATTAAAAATTAAGAATAAAAAAATTTATCTATTTTTTTATTTTTAAATGTTCTGTAAATTTTTATTTAAAATTATGAAATGTATAAAATGAAATAAAAATAATGCGTAGAAAAGTGAAATACGAAATAAAAATATTCTGTATAAACAAAAAAATATTTATTTGATAAAACACATATATACATATATACATATATACATATATATATATATTGTATTATTTTATGTACAAAAAATAATAAAAACCTAATATTTTTTATTTTATTTTTCCTTATACGAGCAGAAAAAAAAAGAATCAAATAATACCAAATCAAATAATTCTTAACATAAAAAAAAAGAAAAAGGTATAAAAAAAAATATATATATATATATGAGTATACAACTTTTTTAAATAATAAAGTTATATGTAATAATATAATTTTATATATAATGAAAATATAAACTAATTAAAATTTATGTAAATAAGACAATCCATTTTTTAAAAATTATGATTGTAAAATAAATAAACATTGGAAAAAATGAACAAATATAAAAAGATTAAAATATATAATGTATCCAAATATGTATAATTAAAAAGCGTTAAAGAAAGTATATAAGATAAATAAGTATAAGCAAACATAATGAATATAAAAGAATTAAAATAATGAATTAATATCAAAATCATTGGGAATATCTAACTGACTTAAAGCTGCCTGTACTTCATCTTTCGAAATGTTATGTTTTTTAACCAAATCTTTTAAGTCGCTAATAGTTACATTATTGGGATCTATATCTTTAAGTGTATTTGTTTCATTTATAGCATTATATCCTTGAACTATATCTTTTATTTCTTTTTTTATATTATCAGGTGTATCAGTATTTAATACATCTTCTTCATTTAATTTTTCAAAAGTTTTTTTTTTATTGTTTGAAATCCATAAAATAAATTCATTAAAGTTTTTAATAGAATTATTTATATCACTACTAGAAACAGTAGTTTCTCTTATATCTTCATTTTCATTTTTACGTAAACTCACTTCTAAAATATCCAGTGCTCTTTTAGATGAACATGCATTACTATTAATTAATAAATCATATAAATGTCCTGTATATTTTTTTGTAGAATAATCTAAAATTTTTTGATTTTCTAAATCTGTTAAACAATTTATCCATTCATCATTTATGTAATTAAAATTAATTGGTAATTCTTTTTTATTTATAATATATTCAATATATTTATACATATAATTTAAATAAATCATTTTAATATCACTTGGTTCAAAACATAATTCTTTTTCTGAACTTTTGTTTTCAATCTCATTTTCTTTATTAATTTTATCTTTATTTGCATCTGGAGAACAATATTTTATCATACTTATTTTATCATATGTAAATAAATATTCTTCAAGACATTTTTGAATTTCAATATTATCATTATATTTAAATTTTCTAAATTCCAGTATTTCTTTAAACATTTCATCATGATCATAATACGCAATTCTGTCTATTAATTTTTCAATATCGTATTTATCCTTTTCAGCAGCAAAATGTTCTTTCTGAAAATTTTTATTAATATAAGCAGAATTTTTATTCTCTTCCTTTTTATTTTTACCTTCATTAATTTCATTTTCTTTTAATTCAACTTCATCTATATTTTCATTATTTTTATATTTTTGTGAGTTACTCTGTATATTTTTTTCTTTAAAATCAAAAAATTCTTTGTTTTCAATATTCTGAAAACTCTTAGAATATTTAAATATAGAAGGCAAATATAAACTCTTGAAAGTGTTATTAAGATATAGTTTGTTTTCTTTTTCTATTTCATTTTCATTATAAAAATAAAAAATTTCTGCCATTTCTTTTAATAATACGTTAGACAAAATATTAATTGAAAAAACATTATCATTTATTAATATCTTTGAATTTTCAAAGGTATTAATGAAATTTTTATGACTTGATAAAAGTTTATCATCTTTTACAAATTCTATTTCTATATTATTTATTTTATTATCAAATATTTCTTTATTAAAAAAGTGAAATAAATTATATGTAACATTTTTTCTATTTAATACATTTGCTGTTCCACATCTTTTTTTTTCTTCATCGTACAAAAATATAAGTTTATTGATATTTTCTTTTTTTAAACCTTCTTTTACATCAATTTCCTTTGGATTTTTAGTAGAATTTGGCAGAAAACCAGATATTAAATTTGCAAGAATTTGGAAAACATCTTGATTTTTAACTAGTTTAATTAAAATAATTTTCTCTTTTAATTTATCGAAATAATATTCTATTGAACTTAAATTTTCATTATACATGGTAAAAATTAAATTGTTAGTTGATGACTTTATTTCTTCTAATCTCTTATAATATACGATTTCAGCTGCATATTTGCATTTATTCATAATAAAATTTACTTCATTCATATTTAGATTAATTAAAACCTTTATACCTTTTTGAAATACTTTGTATAAATTTACATAATTATTTGTGAATAAAGCTGATGCAATATGCTTAATAGGAATTTTTTTTTCTAACCATATATTTTCACAGTTTTCTCTTTTTATAGAATTTTCAATTATTTGCATAATTCTATTTTTACTTATATTTACACTTTTTAAATTTAGATAAAAATTATTTAGATTATTATAATGTTTAAGATTTTTTAAGAGATTAATTTCTGTAGAATTTAAATAATTTTCTAAATTTATAATATCATCCAAAAAAATAGGCCAATTATTATACTCAATTATAAACCTAATAAATTGCATAATTCGGTTAATTTTTAAATAATTAAATATATCTACATTTTCATCATCTATTACTTCTTCACTTTTCTTTTCCTCTATTTTTTCTTCACATTTTTCATAATTATCACTTTTTTCACTTTTTATTTCTTTTATATTATTTAAGCTAACATTTTCCTCATTTATATTTTCTTCTTCATAATCTTCTGCATTAACAGAATCATCATCTGTGCCATCATAATCTTCACTAATTTCCTCTTCAGTTTCATATTTCTCATTATTTAATTTATTATTATTAAGTGTGTCATTTTTTATCATATCTTTTCCAATATTTTCTTCTTCACCCTCTTTTTTTAATTTACTTTTAGCTTCTTTAATAGTTGAATTATCAGTATTCCCACCATACTTATGAATGTATGTAGTATATTTTTCATAAATATTCAAACATTCATCTAACAAAACTCGAGATAATATCAACGAATTACTTATATCATTATTTATATATATGACAGAATCATTAGATATATAATCATAATTATAATCGTAAAAACTTAATCCAGATATATCATTTGTGAATTTAATGACAATGTTATTTGGTAGATCAAATCGAAATAAATATTTTGTATAATAATTTAAAAAATAATATGCAATTTCTTCCTTGTTTTTTTCATTCAATAATATATTACTTTTTAATGGATAATCAATTTTCAAATTTTTCACAACATAATCCATATTATTAATATCCATATTCTCATCATAAATACTATGATTATTATAAAGGTCAGTTATAACATCTGTTTGCAAAATTCTCTTAAAAAAAAATTTTTCCTTATTTCTCATTTTTCTTATGTTTCTAAATAATTCTCCTATAACAACCATCATCTGTAAAGTCATTATGTTATTAGTTGTTTCTACTTTTTCATTTTTTTGAAATTTTTTCAACATACTATCCACATCTTCATTTTCATTCCCGCTATCATGAAGAAATCTCAAGCAAGAATATGTTAAAGCGTTGTGCACATATGTCAAATCAAATTCATTCAATTCTTTTAATTTTTCTATTCCTTGTGTTAAATATTTCATTGAATTATTCACATCACATAAAAAAAGAGAAGAAGAAAACTCATTTAAAGGTATTCTAAAACGCTGTAATTGAAAATTGTTTTCTTTTTTTGATGAATCATATATTTTTTTTTTTCCTTCTTTTACGTTTTCATTATCAATTGATTCATTCATATTATAATTTATATATGAGTTTCCCCAAATATTATTTATATTTTTTTTTTTATAAACATTAGTGGCCATATGAATAGCTTTATTAATATCATTAGTAGTCTTAGATTTTAAAAGAAGAAATACTAAATCATCTTCTTCTTCCACTTCTTCTTCTAATTCTTCTAATTTAGTAGTATCTATTTTATTCTTTTCATCTGTTATTTCCTCTTGTTCTAATTCTTCTTTCTTAAATATGTTTGAATCATTTTCATCTTTACCAAAATAATTTGTCTTATTACTACTTTCTCTTTCATTTCTATTGTTAAAAGAAAGTTCATTATTATATTCCAAATTATAAAATAATCTGTTGTTATCACCATTTATATTTTTTAAATAGGAAAAAAAAATTAATGATTCTTTACTAGATAAATTTAGATCTCCTAAATATGGTGTGTAAAAGTAAAAATCAATATTCTCTAATAAACCTGATACCCCATGAACAAATTTTATAATTTTTTGTTTCATCTCATCAAATTTTTTAAATTTTCCGTAATTTTTTACTTCTTTAAATTGTAATATATCATTCTTTAATAAATTTTTGTATTCATACATCATTTTTAAAATGGTGTAATTTAATAATAATGGAGAATCTTTCAAATTTGATAAAATCAGAATACTAGGTAAATTAATAAATTCCTTATTAACAATTTTATATGTTTTCATATTTTTTATTTTTAATAAGTTTTCTACATCACTATTTATCCAATAAAAATCAACAAAATCAAAATTTGGTAATTCGTTATTAAATATTTTAAAATTAAAAAAATTCCACATATTATTAATGTGTCTCTCAGCTTCTTTATTGTTTTTAAATTGATATGGAGTAGAATAATTTATTGTTTCTCTTTTTTTTGCTAAATAATCGATTAGTTCTTTTTCATTTATTTTAAACAAGTCATTTATTTTTTCAAAAAAATGAATTAAAATATTTATAATTTCTTCATATTCTGAAGATAAATCTAAATACGTTTCATTATTTATTAGTTTATTTTTATCTGGAAGAATATTTGAATCATTTTCAATTTCTACTTCATTTAACAGCTTTACTTGAAATGTTTTATAAATTATATTTAATATATAATTTTTTGCGTATCTTAATATATACATTAAAAAAATTTTATCATCTAAATTATATTTTAAGTTACATTCATAATAGTTATTTAAATATTTATTTAAACTTAATTTAATAGAATTTAATCCTTTCTCTATAAAATCACTAAAGGCTTCCTTACCGATATAAACTGAATTATATAAAGATCTGGAAGGAATTATTATGTTCGTTCTTTTCGTAAAATCTAAATGTGATAATTTTCGTATCTCCTCTTCATTTAAAATTACTTCACTCTGATCAGAAATACTTTTATGATCTACATAATTTTGTGTACTAGTTGAGTCATTATGAGAATTATTATTTACCTTATTAATATTATCATTATTACTATTTTTTTTTTCAAATAGATCATAACTCAATTTCTCCTTTATATTCTTTGTCATAGATCGACATACATTCTTATTTTCTCCTTTATTGTGGAAAGGTATTAAGCTTATTGAACTATCTTTTAAAACGCATTTTTTTTTATAAAATTTATCATTTATTTGATTTATTTTATCATAATACTTAGTATTTATACACTTATTTTCAATATCATAAAAGAAATTTTCCTCATTTGATAAGAGGAATCTATCACTCCATTGTTGAAACCTCATATGTTCATTTATTTCTTCTTCTTTTAATATTTCTCCATTTAGATACACATTGTGTTTATTATCTATAGATTCATTATTGTTATTGATTCTATTATCTAAAAATTCCTTTTTTTCATCGTTATTTCTTACATTCTTCAAATTATCATCTTTATTATTTATTATTTCATTGATGCTATTAATTTTGTTAATATTTTTTTCCTCTAATGATTCATTTCCGTATGTATCTTCTTTACCTTCTCCATTTGACTCCCGTTCACTTTCTACTAAACCATTTACCTTTAAAGAATTATATTTATCTTTTTTCCTTAAAACATTAAAGTTTGTTTTAATTTTATATTTTGAAATATTCGTGAAAAAAGTAGGTTTAATAAAATTCAAATAATCATGAAATCTTTTTATCTTTATGGCTTCTTTATTTTTTAGAAAAAGTTGGAAAATAATAATTATTATAACATATTTTTTTAAAAAATAATTGATCATTTTTGTTTTTTTGTTTTATTAAAATTCATTAACTTTCCAAAAAATGAAAAAAAAACTATATAATATTGAAACACATGTTAACTTATGGAATTTTATGAAATTATATTTAAATCATACAAAATATTTTATCGTAGCTTTTCTTTACTGTTTATAAAAATAGGGGAAAAAAAAAAAAAAAAAAAAAAAATCAATATTTATTTATAGAAATATGATATTTAAAAAAAAAAAAAAAAAAAAAAAAGGAAATTATATTGTTCCTTCACATTTTTAAAATAATAGCCTTGCATTTTAACATGCTTTAAGAAAGCACTACTGTTTTCATGTATATTTTCTAGGTATACAACATAACGTTAAAAAATATTTTTTTATAAAATAGCCTATAAGGTGAATTATAAAAAGAAAAAAAAAAAAAAAAAAAGAATATCAAAATAATTTTCATATATATATCCTTCGAATTTGTTATATATAATAAGAATTTGAAAAGAAAAGAAATTTGAGATAAGTTATTTTGTGTATGCTAATCCATATTTTAAAATTATACAATTTTTAAAAAAAATTTTAAATATTCAATTTTCTTATATAATAATATTTACGGTTATTAAGTTGCTTTATATGTTTTTTTTATATATTATTCTTATGAAGAATAATTTAATTAAACCTTTGAAAATTAATTTTATGACACTTTGTATGTTCTTTCAGAAAAAGAAAAATAATGCGCCTTTAAACATTGAAGTATTTTTTATTATAGAATAAGCTTAATAAAATTATAATTTATTTATACATATGTTCAGTTATTTATTTATTCATTTTTTTTTTTTTTTTTTTTTTTTTTTTTTTTTTTTTTTTTGTTTTGTTCATTGGAAATGAATAATTAACACATTATATTCTCAAAAAAAAAAAAAAAAGAAAAAAGAAAAAAATACTAAAAAAATAAGATCAAAACAAATACAACATTTGCATATGAATAAACTTGTGTTAATGAAAATTTTTTTTTTTTATAACTTTTTATAAAATTAATATATATATATATACATATATATATATTTTTTTTTTTTTTTTTGTTCTTACAGATCTCATAATTATTATAAGGTTCATTTTTGTTATTACTAATTTTTACTAGTTTATATATATATATATATTTTATAACTTTTTATTGTAATTGTTATTTAATAATATTTTTAAAATAATTTCTTTTTATCATTATTAATATAATTCTTAATTTAATTTTTTTTTTCTTTTTATATTTCTATTATAAAGTATATTTAAAATATACTCTAAAATAATTGAATAAAAAAGTTGAATAATTATTTAATTATAATAATATTGTGATATATTATTTTGCAAAAATGTGTGAAAACAAAAGTAAAGTAAAAGATATAAGTTTAGCTCCTTTTGGAAAGTTGCAAATGCAAATATCTGAAAATGAAATGCCAGGAATAATGACAATAAGAGAAGAATTTGAAAAAAAAAAACCTTTAAAAGATGCAAAAATAAGTGGTTGCTTACACATGACAGTTGAATGTGCATTATTAATTGAAACCCTACAAAAATTAGGAGCAAAAATAAGATGGTGTTCATGTAATATTTATTCTACTGTAGATTATGCAGCTGCTGCCGTCAGCACACTCGAAAATGTAACAGTTTTTGCATGGAAGGGAGAAACTCTTGAAGAATATTGGTGGTGTGTAGAAAATTCCTTAACATGGGGAGAAAATGAGGGCCCAGATTTAATTGTTGATGATGGAGGAGATGCAACTCTTTTAGTTCATAAAGGTGTAGAATATGAAAAATTATATGAAGAAAAAAATATTTTACCAGATCCAGCGTCAGCAAAAAACGAAGAAGAAAAATGTTTTCTAAATTTGTTAAAAAAATCTATTCTTAAAAATCCGAAAAAATGGACTAACATTTCAAAAAAAATTATTGGAGTATCTGAAGAAACAACAACTGGAGTATTGAGATTAAAAAAAATGGATAAAAATAAAGAATTGCTTTTTCCTGCTATTAATGTGAATGATTCAGTAACTAAACAAAAATATGATAATGTTTACGGTTGTAGACACTCATTACCTGACGGATTAATGCGATCTACAGATTTCTTAATATCAGGAAAAATAGTTGTTATATGTGGATATGGAGATGTTGGTAAAGGGTGTGCATCATCTATGAAAGGATTAGGTGCTAGAGTTTATGTTACAGAAATAGATCCAATATGTGCTATTCAAGCTATTATGGAAGGATTTAATGTAGTTACTTTAGATGAAATTGTAGATAAAGGAGACTTTTTTATTACATGTACAGGTAATGTTGATGTTATTAAATTAGAACATTTACTGAAAATGAAAAATAATGCTGTAGTAGGTAATATTGGTCATTTTGATGATGAGATACAAGTCAATGAATTATTTAATTATGAAGGTGTTCATATAGAGAATGTAAAACCACAAGTAGATAGAGTTACTTTACCAAATGGAAATAAAATTATTGTATTAGCAAAGGGAAGACTTTTAAATCTTGGATGTGCAACTGGGCATCCTGCATTTGTCATGTCATTTTCTTTTTGTAATCAAGTTTTTGCACAGCTGAATTTATGGGAGAATAGAAATAATTCTAAATATGAAAATAAGGTTTATTTGTTACCTAAAGAACTTGATGAAAAAGTTGCTCTTTACCACTTGAAAAAACTAAATGCATCATTAACAGAATTAGATGATAATCAATGTGAATTCTTAGGAGTTAGTAAGAATGGACCATATAAAAGCAATGAATATAGATATTAATATAAAAATAAATTTCATTATCATATATTTAGATTATAAGAGAAATATATTTTAACGTTTAATAAAATGCTAGTTTATGTAAAGAACAAATATATATTAATAATATATATAAAAAGTAAAAAAATTAACTATATAAAGATATAAACAAAAGAATTTCTATAAAAAAAAAAAGGAAAGAAAAATATAAGTTTGCATATTTTGCATATATATTGGCTATAGAATTTTAGTGTTATATTTGTTGAAAATTTATATATATAAATCATTAAGATATATAAATATATATATTCACAAAAGTTTTATTAGTTTTTAATTATGAAAATTATACAAACAATTAAATTGAAATAAAAAAATTTAAAAACACATTCCTTTTATAAACATATTTTAAAGTTTTTAGATAAAATTTATATATATATATATAAATTAAATAATAAGCTTTTTAGATGGACAATAATTTTAAAAATAAGATTTTATGTTTTTTCTTTTTCCTCTACGTAAATGGTATTTTTTTTTTTTTTTTTTTTTAAGCTATATGATTTAAACAAATCCAAGAGGTAAACCTAAAGATTGCATCATTCTTTCTTCTTCCAATTTTTCTTGAAACTTTTTATTTATTTCTTCTACGCCTTGTGAATTTTCTATTCCATTTTCATCACTGTCACACATTTCATCTTGTTTGAATTGTGTTTTGTTAGTTATTGTTGCATTATTAATATCATGATTTTTATCTAAATTATCATCATAATTTAAAGAATTTTTAGCATTAATTTCTTCTACAGTTTCGTAATGACAGTCATCTTTTAATTCTGTTTTTCTTTCATGTGTTCTTCTTTCATCATAATTATAATATTTTTCTTTATATGCGAAATTTCTAGTATCTTTATATCTTAACCTTTTATCGCTTTTATCTTTTGAACTAGATGATTCTCTATAGATTTCTTTATCCTCATGTCCTATTCTTTCATTGTCATAAAAAATATCTGACTTATCTTTTCCTTTCTCTTTATATCTATCTCTTCTCTCATTTTTATATTTATCTCTTCTATCATTTTTGTGTTTATCTTTTCTATGACTTTTGTGCTTATATCTTTTTTCTTTTTCTTTGCTACTATCCCTTTTGTTATAGTCACTATATCTATTTCTATGTTTGTATTTACTTTCTTCTCTGTCATATTTTTTTCTCTCATTTTTACTATGCCCATTTCTCCTTCTATCTTTCTCATCCTCCTCCTCATCATCTTTTCTTGTTGTCTCTTTTACTTTTATTTCATCCTTTTTTCTTTCTATTTTTTCTTCATTTCCTTTTTCCACTATTTTTTTTTCATCTTGCTTTATATTCTCTTTCTCTTCTATTTTTTTTCTTTTTTCCTCCTCATTCTCTTTCTTTGTTGCTTTGTAATCTTTTTTTGTGACGTTCTTATCCTTTTTAAAATTCTCATTTTCTTCATTATGTATATACTCTTTTTCATAATCACTTATATCCTTATATTTCTCGTCACCAGACATTCTAATTTTATGAGTTTTACTTATTTTATTTTCAAATGCTTCTTTGTTATCTTGCTTTATTTTATTCTTTTTTTCTTCTGAAGTTCTATGTTTTTTATCATCTTTATTATTTCCAATATGAGCTTGTTTTTTTAAATCCTTTTCTTGTATATTTACATGGTCTACATTCATTTTGTCAAAATTTATGTTATTTTCATTTATCTCACCATTAGTATCAAAATCAGTTTCCCTTTTTTTTTTTCTATCTCCTAAATTATTAACATTTTCTCTAAACATATATGAGTCATCACTTGTATTATTTATATGTGTAAAAGAACTATTTTTAATGCTTTTTTCATATTTATCTTTTTTTTTTTCATTTTTTTTTTCATTATCTCTATATATTTTATCGACATCTTCAAAGTTTTTTGTGTTTTCCTTGTTTATTTTACTTTTATTTTTTAAAATTCCTTCCCTACTTTTACTTGATATATAACTACTTGTGTTTGAATTAGTGCAATTAGAATTTAAACTTAAGCTTGAAGAAACATCACTTTTGATGGAACTACTTAATGATAAACTTGGAGAATTCTTTCTCTCTTTGTTATAACTACTCGATTCACTTGAGGTACAACTATTTGATTTATTACGTTTATTATAATTATGTTTAGTTTTGTTTTTTAATGATTCTTCTTTTTTTCTTTTTTTCTTATCTTTAATTTTATCCTCAATTGATTTTCTTTTTTTTGTAACCCATAATCCCTTCTCATTCTTTACTAAGTTTTTGCTTTTTCTAAAAAAAATAAAAACAATTTAACAAATATATGAAAAAATGAAAAATTAAAAAAAAAAAAAAAAAGAAAAAAAGAAAATTAGGTCCATTTTAATTATTATATTTTTATTATACTTTAAGTAAGGTTTCTCATAAATATCTTCATTATTATCCTCAACGTTTTTTAATTTTACCAATGAATGTGCGAAATCCCAATTCCTGTGTTTAATTAATTCTTTGTCATCTTGTTCTTTCAGTGATTTTTCTTGATTATAAACAGGTACTAACTTTGGCATTTTAAATTAAGGTAATTTTAATATCTTTTTTCTTTTCCCTTTCTCCTTTTTATTTTTATTTTTTTTTTTTATTACTATTGTTAAAAAAAAAAAATAATTTCTTAATAGCTAGTTTTGTACATAATTAAATCATTTTTTTTTTTTTTTTTTTTTTTTTG